TCACATTCTATCTTTTAAAACAAAATGTCAATAATTTTCTCCAAGATTTGCTATTGGAATATTTATAACCAATAGGAAGAGAAAATTTTAATTTAATGAATTCTCTATAAGATGAACTCATTCTGACAACAGATTTAAAATTACTTAATACACAATTTAATTTTTACTAGTACCAAGCTCACCTCAACCAACTAACAGAATTATTTTAACCCACTTATAGTTTAGTTAAAAAAACCTGTTAAATTACAGCAGTTTTAGGACATTATTCAGTAGGTGTTAATATTTTATGCTCTTAGTTGTATATTTGAAAAGAATATAAATTTTATGTCCTACTACAATTGTACTAAATTTCTTAATTTTTATGTAAATTTTTATTTACTTTCATAAAAGTTAATAAAATGTAGAGATTAGAAATATATTAGGTTAGATAAAAAACTTAGTGAAACAAAAAATAAAAATACTCAAGATAGCACATGCACATCAGGAGCATAACTATGTAATTTGATGAATGTACTGGTAACTTGACTGTTTGTTTATACAAAGCTGTCTCTCTGTGATAATAGCTTTTGCTGTACTCTGAGAGAGTATACAGTACAACCATAAAGCAACAAGATAAATGAGTGACAACTCTGAAAAGTATTAGCTTTAGTTGTAAGAATAAACAGTGTGATTGTCTATTACAATGTGCAGTTATTCTAGAAAGAAAAAAAAAAGGTAATTTAGATTTATTTTATATTTTTCATCTTTTCATTTTCCTCTACATTGCAAATTTTGTAGCATTTAGTGTTAGGGTAGAGAAAATAGCAGATAAAATATAAAGTTTTGCTGAAAAACTTTTTGATATTCATTTACAAGGTTATACAATGGAAAACTTTCAGAGCTCTTTACGGTTCAGATCAACGTCAGGCAGAGATGTTTGCTTTCACCAACAATATTCCTGATTGTTATAAACTGGGTGATAAGGCAGACTACCAACAACACAAAGACAGGCATCCAGTGGACATTCATGAATCACCTTGAAGATTTCGATCTTGCGGATGATCTATGTCTCCTGTCCCACAAGCAGCAGAACATGCAATCCGAGACTCAACAACTTGCTGAGGAAGATACAAAAACTGGGCTGCGCATAAACGTTAACAAGACCAAGATGATGAGAATCAACAACAGACAACAGAACCCAGAGCTGCTCAATGTAGACAGTATAGAAGAAGTTGGCAAGTGTCACCTCAAAAGATGGAGGCACAGATAAAAACACCAGATCACAAATCAACAAAGCCAGATTCGTCTTCAAATCTCTCCAACCTATATGGATCTTACCATCTCTTTCTCAGAAGACAAAAGTCAAACTGTTCAACAACAACATGAAATTAGTGGCTCAGTGACATGGTGAATCACTAAGACCATCACAGCCAAGATTCAGACCTTTGCATGGTTCTAGTTAACCCAAACTTCCAAGTCCCGTACACATGAGAATTTGTCAGGATGCATGAGATTTGACTAAATATACACTGTAAAACACCCCATATGCAAGGCAAGTACAAGTATTTGCTTTGAACTTTGTACCACAATGAACTAAACAGTATACAGTTTACACAGAGCTGTCCACCATCAACTTCTAACAGGCTTCATCAATGACAATAAATTGCACAAAAATAAAGTCATGTGAAAGTACCACATGGTTAACCTTTTCACCTCGAGTAGGTCAAAGTGCATATGTTACAACCTTTCACAGAGTTACATTCAAAATTTAATTAAACTACTTTATCATCAATATGTAGGAATAAACTCAGTATTAGAATGTAGATAATAAACCAGTTTAATATTATTTAAGTTTTAAGTTCTTAATTTTATAAGGAAATATTTTTTTTAAATTCTCAATCTTTCCTGGTATGAAAACTGTGATGTTTGTTATTCTTTTCTTCCCTCTTCTCTAAATTTTTACCACCTCTCTGAGAAGTACAAAATTTAATGTATATTATTCATTATACTGTTGCCATTGCTCAGGCAAAGCATAATTTACATAGTCTTCAATCTTATTTAATTAAAGGGCAATAAAATTAAAAATCAGACCCCCTCTTACCACACCCACCTGTCATATTCTCTCTTTCAGAACTTGCCGATAGTCTCTCTGACATACAAGACTATATTACTTATAACCAACAAAAAGCCAAAGTTCTCTATCAAATGATGTATTGTATTATGTTTTCTGTACAGAGAATTGCCTATTTTCCTTCAAGTTAAACCTTTATTCCTACAAGAAACACGTTGACTTTTAGCTGAATTTTTAATGGTTCTGTCCCACGGTTAGAAAACAAGAAAAATAGTAATAGTTATGGGACATTGTTTCCTTTTTGCATGTTATTATTCTGTGTTCTTTGGTGCATTATCTAATTAAATAAAAATTATTTAATGTAATAGTACCATTAGTATAAAAAAGTAGAATTAAGTTTTATTGACAGTCGACAGCAGAAAAAAAAAAAAGACACTGGTAAGTAATTTATTTTTGGTTTTCATGTGTATTTTTTATTTATTGTTATAAAAGTAACTAAAATGTAAAAATTGAAAACTTTTTGGGTTAGATAAATTAAAATAAATAATATTAATAATAATAATAATAATTTTCATGAGGTAAACTCGCAAGTAGTCCATGCATTATGTAATTCAATATCATAACATGAGCTGTACATTCCCCATATGATTTGCAATTTATATGGTGCGAATACTAGTTAAACATGGTTCAAAGGGCAATAAAACAATAAAATTTAAGTATAAATAAATATATACTGTTACAAGCTTTAAGCTACTCAGGATAAACAATTGTGGTTTTCTGTTATAATATGCAGTCATTCCAGAAAGAAAATAGGGGAAGTTTAGCACGACTGGTCTCATATAGTTTAATATTATCCCCAAAAGCAAAATAAAATTATAAAATCTTGTCTGTTATATGACAATGTTTTCATATTGCTTGAGTGCTGCACATATTTGAGACAAATGACATCAAATGACAAGTAGTTTAAAATTTAAAATCTTCAAGGTGTTTCTTTAATTTCTGCTTGAAAATAATTTGTAAGATATCAAAGTTTAGTAGTTGGTACCCAAGCAGGTTCTTACTATAATCTGTTTATAAACATGTTAATTGGACCAAAATAAATCATAAAGGAAAACAAGAAATCAAGTAGTCACTTTTAAGTATTGATACCTTAAAAACAGAAGATATTTTCATGCTTATTGAAAAAGTTGTTCATTTTATCCTCTTGCATATTGTCCTAATTTAACACTTGTTGAGGGTAAGTAACGTGTAGTGTACATTACAAATAATACATTTTCGTTGAGCACAAAAGTGCCCTTAACTTCTTCGACACTGATAAAATATCATAAAGAGAAACTATATGCAGCATAAATTGTAAATAAAGTTTTTCATTGAACATTAACATGCTCTTTTCCACTTGCAGAAGGTAAACATGTAGTGTACATTGTAAATAAAGTTTTTCATTAAACACTGACATGCTTTCTTCCACTTGCAGAAGGTAAACATGTAGTGTACTTTGTAAATAAAGTTTTTCATTGAACATTAACATGCTCTTTTCCACTTGCAGAAGGTAAACATGTAGTGTACATTGTAAATAAAGTTTTTCATTGAACATCAGCATGCTCTTTTCCACTTGCAGAAGGTAAACATGTAGTGTACATTGTAAATAAAGTTTTTCATTGAACATTAACATGCTCTTCTCCACTTACAGAAGGTAAACATGTAGTGTACATTGTAAATAAAGTTTTTCATTGAACATTAACATGCTCTTCTCCACTTGCAGAATGTAAACATGTACTGTACATTGTAAATAAAGTTTTTCATTGAACATTAACATGCTCTTCTCCACTTGCAGAAGGTTAACATGTAGTGTACATTGTAAATAAAGTTTTTCATTGAACATTAACATGCTCTTCTCCACTTACAGAAGGTAAACATGTAGTGTACATTGTAAATAAAGTTTTTCATTGACATTGAAGTGCTTTTTTTTTAATTTATTAAATTCTACCTATGGGACTCTTGTAAATGACCCTGGCATTATTTTTGCTGTAGTATTTTTTGAGGGATTCTGGTAGTGATCCCATTACTGTATCCCACTATTTTAACTGAGCTGACTTGTTTATGGTAATTATTCAAACTGTCAAAACAAAATAAAACATTTGTATCAATGTTTTTGTTCTCGTCTCTTTTTCGTGGAATGTTGACAAGCATTTTACAGTATATCCGAGGGGTAGGCCCAAATTGTTTGATGAGGCATGAGTGAATACACAACATTGTGTCAACAATGTCGTGGTATTGATCTTAATAAGGAACTTCATATCAATCAGACATTTGATATAACCTTTTAAAGTTTTGTGTGTGTGTGCTCGCACATGCATATCCTGACATTACTGCGAGTGATTTTATTTTTACTTATGAAAGGACACCCTTTTTATATGCAGGACAACCAATGCATTAAGTTTGTTCACTAGTATTCTACCATCTTTTTACATATAATTAACAGATATTATGCCTCTAACTTTTATACTAAATTAGCCTAACTTGATTAGTCATTTGACAAAATCGATACACTTTTGACTAGTTCCATGTGTCAAAATTGTAGAGAAAGCCCATGAAGTACATCATGCATATAGTTGTAGTAAATCAATCTTCTTTGTCTTTATTGTTTGTGGTTTACTCCCAACAAGAAAAACTTTCTAGTTATTTCTCCAACTAATCCCACCTGAATATGTATTAAGTGAACTTCTCTAGCCCTAGTTGGCTTTATGTCTCCATCTGATGACCTATGTCATTTTGTAAATTCATTCCATCCTTAAATAAATGTGCATTTTTCAATGAAGTTCCTGTGTGAAAAATCCATGCCATAAACACACCATTTTGCAAGATCAGGAAACCTTATTTAATACAAATGTAAATCACACGGTCATTCCTGACAACACTCACACTAAAAAAAAAAAGTCAACTTACTTACCTGGATCTGAGAGGCATGGAGATCCATTGTGATGATATGATCTGCTCCTGCAACTGATAACATATTGGCTACTAGCTTGGCTGATATTGGTGCCCGGCTCTGAAAATCAAATATTTTTACTACATGAATTTTACTGCAAGAAAATACACCATTCAAATATACAAAAAAAATAACTTATGTTATACATTAAGTAAAGGGCACTTTTTGGGTGAGTTTTGTTTAAAAAAAATTATGGGAATTGCAAATCAAATATTTGAATACAGCCTAACAGTACATTCATGGGACCTAGAGAGCACATGGTAATACAACAGTAGTTAAAAGCACAATTAGAAAATAATAAACTAGACAGCTTTAGAAGGATGGAAATAGGGACAGAGTTCAACAATTGTCTGGAATGAACTTCAACTTTACAAAATCTCAACCTTAACATTATTATTCCCTAAAATTAACTGTAACTGTGTCAAAATTAAATATTTCATGTATTAAATATCAATAAGTATGTTTATATCCTATTAATAATTTTTCTGTGATTTTTTCTTTAAAATATTTCAAAATATCAAATATTATAGTATTTTACTATAAAGTTATAGTTTTAAACATTAAAAGCTACAAAGTACAAGAATCCAACAGGCCTAACATTTGTATTAATCATGGATGTATGAAGGGGAATGTGGTAGAAATGTCTGTACTTTGAGTGATTTCTATTTTATTATTATCTCCAAGAAATAACCACTTGGATATAGTATTTCTAACCACTCTACTAGCAAACCTGCACTGAAGAGGCCAGATGGTACACAGCTAGCTGGCTGGCCCATAACTTGTCAATCAACCAAGTTCAACCTGTAGTCTGACTATAACCATTTCCTGACACTTGGCCTGGATATGTTGTGCAGGTCACATAGGGATAGCAAAATTGACATGATGCCAGTAAGTGAAACAATTGTCAACCACAATTATAATAAAATTCTGTACTTAGAATCTTGCAATATAAGTGACTGAAACACAGACAGATGTACTGATACTCAAATGCAATTTCTTTCTAGTGTCTACTACATTTTACTAGCAAAACAGCAACATGAACCAGTAATTTGCTGGCATTAATTTCAAACCCTGGTGACAATACATTTGTATTTTAAACATACTATCTTTTGTAGCAAATAGTTTTAAAAATACAGTGAAGATATTTTATATCTGATTATTTTGTTTTTACATTGGTGACACCAGACATAAGAATTTGTTTTACTACCTCTCTTCTGTAACCTCTTCAATAAAAAATAAATTTGTTATTATAAAATGTAAATGGAATCACATTAAGTACTTATTTTTAAGTGTATTAGTATTTGTAACAGTTGCTGAGGTTTTTGGATCCCCCCCACTACAGGGAAAAAGATAATGAAGGTGCAAACTTCAAGTATAACATTACACCTCTAGAACAGAGATTCTCAAACATTTTCAGTCCAGGACCCCCTTATGTGAGAGTGAACAACTCAAGACCTCCATCCTTTGAAGCTTTATGTTTTTCTTCTCAACTTCCTCATTTTCACAATTTAATACTTTTTTCCCTATCAAAAGTACATTTAGATTCCTGTCTTAAATTTGTCCATTTGATATTTTACTTTGCTTTCATACCTTGACTTATCCAGCTTTAATGCTAGAATATTGCCTTGGTGAGGAATTTTTATATAAAGCACTGATGGAGTTTCTCCTAAGTATATCTTGAGGTCATGCCTTTATTGGTTGACTGACATGGATAAATTTATTTGTTATTCATGATTACAAAAGTTACCTATTTGTACCATTCTGCTGGTATATTTATCCCTCCTACCACTCATGGTTTGAGCTTGTATCCTTCCACATTCTTATCAATTGGTAATGTGCCTCTAATGACAAATTTTCAAGTCTACTTATCAGGACTCTTGTAAAATAGAATATATTACAATTTTACTTTTTAAGTTATATTCCTCACCTGCACAACTGTCCATGGGATATTAGACCCAATTTTGTTGTTTTTTTCACTATCATATGTAAATTTCTTGCTCTCTTCTCCACAGATTCTCTTGATTACAACTTGTCAGGTGCTTTCTTGCACAAATTTTGAAGGAATTTCAGTATCATGAGCTTATGCACAATACTCACTGTAAAATAGTAACTGTAGTGTGTTTATAATGTTCTCTTCTACATAGAACATGTGGTGCAATAATTAATTAAATAAATTCCATTTTAGGTAAAAAGTAAAATGGATAATTTTAGAAATTATCTTTACCTTGTCTTTCTTATCTTGCCGAGCATAAGGAAAGCAGGGAATAACAGCTGTGACTCTTGATGCTGAGGCTATTTTACAAGCATTGATCATAATCAGTAACTCCATCAAGTTGTCATTAACTTCCCCACATCCACTTTGGATAATGTATACATCTTCTCCTCTCACAGACTCCCCTATCTCAACACTGAAAAGTAGTACAGAAACTTGTCTACTTAAAATTTTATAACAAGTATGTACTAAAGACAAGTTGGAGTTTGCAATAGGTAAACATAATTTATAAAAATACAGAAATTTCACAAAGATGTTTACAAAATATATTGAGCAAGAAAACCAAAACTGACATCACAAAGGATGTCTGAGCTACTACAATATTATTATCTAAAATTTATTCATTGTTTTAGGCAAGTTAGATTTACTTCTGTAGTGGGAAAAATGTTAGTCTGATGACAAAAGTTTTATAAAATCATTTAGTGATATATGATATAAATAAAAGCCCACATGGATTCACCAAAGTGAAATATTGTTTAGTAATCTGTTACCTTTTTCTTTATGGACATTACTCTTTACCTGAATGAGAAAAAGGGTTTGGACATGATGTACTTAGATTTTCAAAATATTTCTAATAAGATACTATACAAAAGGTTAACTAATCAAATTACATGGGTAGGAGTTGGAGAAAGACTAGTTAATTAGTGTATAGGGTGATTGGATGGAAGAAAGAATATTATTAATGGAGTCCAGTCAAACTGGACCCTTATTACTAGTGAATTACTTTAGACCTCAGGGATTAGTGCTTGGTCCTTTGTTCTTTTTTATCAGGCAGGCAATAGCACTGCCTATATAGGAATGGCTTGAATTGTTCATCAAAATGGTATTTTAAATATCTCCTCTATAGGTCATCAGAACTTCTCAGTAATATACAGTATTTCCTTTTATACCTTTGTAATGAACAAGTTACAAGTTCTGGGAATGTCTGTCAATATCACAGCAAAAAAGCTTGAATTTCTTGTTCCTCATTCTGCTTTTTTTTTTTTATTACATGATACCTCATAAACCAAAACAATGTTGTCAACAAATTTAACTGAAGTGACATAGTTTCAGATGGAGTGTCCACATTTATAAGTATTATTAATAACTAGTAGTAATTTGTAAAAAATCATAATTCTAGTGTAAATGATGTTATAATTACCCCTTGAAGTTAGCTTTCTTACAGAAATTTGGTGTTCCTTTAAAAAGCTTAAGTACAGGATGAAACAGGAATTACCAGCCAATAACAGATAAACAATAAATACTACATTGGAACCTCATTGTATTTAGAACTTGGTTATAAATACAACCTTCCTACATCTATTGAAACACTGCATTAAAAAAACAAGCTAACAAGTAAGGAAAAAACTTTTCAAAAAAGGAAGTAAATGTAGAGATGGCTAATATCAATCCTTCAAAAACAATGCAAACAAGATATCAGTGATGACACTTGCATCATCCCTACATAATAGCACAAGTAAGAATTAACATATAGCAATATATAACTATTCAATAACAACTGAGTTTTAATTTATCCTATTAATTGTCTGTTAACATTCTATGACACTGTATGCCTGTGCTATTATTTAGGGATAATGCAAATACCATCCCTACTACCTTCTTTGCATTGTTTTTGAAGGATTGACATTAGCCATCCCTATATTTACTCCCTTTTTGGAAAATTTTTTCTTTACTTGTTTACATTAAGTACATTCATACCATTAAGCTCAGATATTTCTTCCCGTATTGAAGTTATTGAGGCATTACAGAATGACCTACATCAACTGGTAAGTTGAACCAAATAAATATTTAGCAAATTACCTTTAATTATAGTAAGTACAAAATAATGAACCTGGGTTATTATAAATTGAATTACATATTTTATACAGATGAGAACCAGCTCAACAAAGTGTCTGAAGAAAAGGTCTTGGCATAGTGGTGGATAAGTTACTCAAACCACTGAAGCAGAACTCTGTTGCCAGCAGTAAATCCTGTAATAATTTTAGGGTGTTCTTATAGACATAGTGACAAAGTGCAAAGGGGTAATTAGCTCTCTATACAAATCACTAATTAGGCCTTATTTGGAATACTCTGTGTCTACTGTTTTGTCTCCTTATCTAAGAAAGGATACTGAATTATTGGAAAGGATTCAAATTAGGGCTATTAGAATGACTCCAGGAATGTAAAAGTTATATTACAGGGATAGTTTATGATCTATTAACTTATTTAATAATTAAATGTAGCTCTTAGTGTTTAATACTCACAGACCACAGCTAAACACCATAATGACAAAAAATAAAAGTAATAAGATGTAAAGATATATATTTGTATCATAATTCATTTCATATGCATTGTGAAATAGATTATATTCCCAAACGTACTCCCACTTCACTATAACATTTCTTTACAAGTCTAGAACTTATGATGAAAATATAAAGCAACAAGTCACATCTGCAAACTTACAAAGCAAACCAAAGAACCCAAGTATATTTACACAAGTAAATCCAAGAAAAGTTTAATAAGCATTTGACCTAGTATAGAAATAATAAAGCATGTCATCACACTACACCCCTCACAAGCTTAGAGCTTGAAATATTTTTTCCAGAGAAAAGGTCTGCATCAGAATGCTCAGTAATTAAGCACTCAACAAACCATCCAACTATAAATATGGCATTAAAGAACAAGGGACGTTTTGGTCCATCTAAGCTATTCTATCTACTAATTTAAGTTAAGCACTAAAAATCTCAAAAGCAACCCTTATCATCCAAATACTTATCAATTTTCCCTTTAACTCCTTCAAATTAAGTGCATCTACCACATCTGAAGGCAACCCATTCCAAAGGTTAGAAAAATTTAGCCATCTTAGCTGAAGACGACTCCTACCCTGCCAAAATTTATACTAGTGTCCCCTAGTCTTACCATTCTCACAGTTAAATATAAACAAAAATAATTCATCAACATTATCAATATTCATAACAACCAAAAACACCTCAATCACATCCCCCTAACTCTTCTTTTTGTAAGTGAAAACAAGTTCAGAGATTTTAATCTGTCCTTGTATTCCGATTTTTCCATCCTAGCTAGCAGCCCTCCTCTGAACCCTTTCCAAGAATTCAATATCCTCCCAAAAGTAAAGCATCAAAGAATGAACACAGTACTCCAAATTTGACCTAACTAATGACCTATACAATGGCATTATAACCTCTTTTGACTTGTATCCTATATTTCTGTACATACATGTTTATTTGTTTGTAGTTAAGCACAAAGCAACTCAATGAGCTACCACCACAGGTATTGAAACCCTGTTTCTAGTGGTATAAATCCACAGACATACCACTGTGCTGCTGGGGGTCCTGTAGATACAACCTAAAATCCTATTTTCCCTGCCACTAGCTACAACACATTGCTTAGATAGCTTAAGATACTGATGAACTAGAACACCATGATTTGTTTTTCTTTCATAACACTATTAAGGTTATTTTACACCCAACGTATATACTAAACTGTGATATCTCACATCCATTACCTTGCATTTATTATAATTAAAAGTAATATATCATATATTCACCCAACTCAACAAATAATCCTAATCCTTTTGTAAGGCAGTAGCATCCTCCTCACAGCCAACAATGCCCAAATCTTTAATGTTATCAGCAAATAGAATCTATTGACCATTCATTCATCTATGTGATTGATGTAAATTAAAAAAGCAAAGGTATTAACACTAAGCCCTGAGGTACTCCATTCTTAATATTAATCCAGTTTGACTAAACTTCATATATAACTCTGCTATCTTCCACCTTGCCAGCTTTCTATCCAATGACACAGCCTATCCTCCACACCTACAGATAATTTTTAACAAGCCATTTATGTGACATCTTGTAAAATGCTTTCTGAAACTCAAGATAAAACAAAATCAAACCAGTACCCTCATCTGTATAAGCAGTAACCTCTTCAAAGAGTGTCAAAAACACCACTGATGTAAAACTAATAGTAAACCTATGATTACTGGGACAATTTTTATTACCTCCCTTGAAAAGAGAAATATCATTAGCCTACTATTCAAAGGCTTAGAAAAATAGTAAAAAGTTGCTCACATATCCAATCTTCAACATCTATCAAAATCCTTGGTTAAATATTACCTGGTCCAGGAGTTTTATCATCCTTTAAACTTCCCAGTTTTTTTTATAGTCTTTTTCTGAATAAGCTCAGAATAAATGTGATCATCTTGTTCAACTTAGCAAATGTTCAGGATGAGGAATATTCTTTAAATCTTCTTTAGTAAAAACTGAAGAGAAAATAGAATTTAATAACCAAGCCATCAATAATCATCATATATTAGCCTTTCTGTATCACGATTCAAAGGCCTTACTCCCATTCTAACATTTTTGTCACCCATAATGTATTTGAAGAAATCCTTACTATTAATTTTTAGACTTTCAGCTAACCTTTTTTCATATATTTTTTTGATTTCCTAATTTGCTATTTGACCAACTCTCTTAACCTTTTATAATCCTCCAAATTTCACATCATCACAGTCAATTTTTATTACTTATATTTATAATGCTTTTCTTTGATTTTACCCTTTATACCCTTTATGTGCAAAACTGTTTTTTTTTTTCTTGAAGCTACCCTTATTTATCTATAATGAACAAGCCTATCTTGAATAATTAAGAATTTATTTTAAAAAATTTTCCACAATTAATTAGTATCTACAAGTAATTACTTTCCCAACTTACAGCAGATAATTTTTGTCTAATCTCTTCAAAATTTGCTTTTTTTGAAATTTGGAATCAAACTCTCATTATCTCTGTAAGCAGCAAAACATCAAATCTAATTAAGCAATGATCATTTGTACCCAGATTTCTTTACTAGAAGTGAAGAATGTATCTCAAATAGCATTGTTCCCAGTAGGTTCTCTAACTAACTGGTGAAGAAAACCATCTAAATTGTTTCTAAAAATCTATTTTCCCAATCTATGTGCCTAAAATTGAAATGTCTCATAATTACAAACGTCATTAATAGTCAAATTAATTATCTTGGTGAATAGTTTCTCCTTAATTTCATCAGTCTCATCTTATTACATATCTATTTCTATTCGTTTTAACTGCATCTATATTTAAATGGGAAAGATTTCCATCAGTCATACACTTGTGACATGACCAAGTTTGTAAGTTTCAGAACAATTATCCAATGAAACATTTGAGGACTGGTTGTATATACAAATAAAAAATGTTCACAACTTACAAGTAAGTAATTTTTTAACTTATAGTTATACTTACTTAAATTTGATGATGAAGAACCCACCTTTTGGAAATAAAGTTTGGAGATGGCTTGAAATGGTAGTGAAAGAAATGTTGTACATTGGTAATAAAGTTTCTTTCACTTATGACACTACCTATTCATGTACCTGATGATGACATACGCTTCTCTAAATGTACATTTGTAATAAAGTTTCACTACCAGTTCAAGACATCTGCAAACATTATACTAACTTACAAGTAACTAGTAATTATATTTATATTTATGATTTTAAGTAACTAGTAGTACTAACTGTCAAGATATTAGTACTCACGGTGAAAGAGATGAATTTTCTCACCCCTGAACACAATTGTGACACACTCGTTTATAAGGTTTCTCTCAAATTGTTAATAATTAGGGCTTCAAAATCAGTGTTAATAGAGATAATTGATGTAGGTTTAAGACTAGGTTGCATAATAAAGGTACGAAGTTCACCACGAAACATAAATTGATGAAATAAAACTAAAAGGCCGACGACTTACCTTGTTTCTTGGTTACTGAATTTTTTTAAGACCACTTTCCCTATCTCGATTCCAAGTCTATAAACTATCTTCTGTGCAAGATCTTGGTGAGAAGAACCCCCAAATACCTTAATATTTGGCATTTTCTGATTATAACTGTAAACTTCAAAAAGAAAAGCTTGCGTTTTCCCCTCCTCCCTAAACAAGCATGTAGACTGTTGAGCGCACGTGTTTGTTATTCGATGTAAACCTATAATGATTAAAATAAAAACTCTGTAAAATTGTTATATGCTCTTTATATTTTACTATCCTTTTATTAAGTTTCAGTAACTGGTTTCTTACACGTCTTGCTTATTTTTCACATTTACCAAAGGTTAAAAATGTATTACTTGTAAATATATTAACATAAATATATTTGTTTTAACTTTGTGTTTTCGCCACAAAGAAATGTGAGTTTGCGAGAATTTTCGATCTTGATAGCAAAAGTATATTTCATATTTCACCACCTTCTGTACTCTTCCATTTGTTTAAAATGCATTTCATCATTATGTTTATCCAAAAAATAATCTGTTTGTTTTGAATTTCGCGCAAAGCTACACGAGGGCTATCTGCGCTAGCCGTCCCTAATTTAGCAGTGTAGGACTAGAGGGAAGGTAGCTAGTCATCACCACCCACCGCCAACTCTTGGGCTACTCTTTTACCAACGAATTCACCAAAGGATTGACCGTAACAATATAACGCCCCACGGCTGAAAGGTTGAGCTTGTTTGGTGGGACGAGGGTTTGAACTCGCGACCTTCAAATTGCAAGTCGAGCGCCCTAACCACCTGGCCATGTCGGGCCATCAAATAAATAGACGTGCATTCAGACTTTTTTTATATTATTTTTATACTGTACTTTGTTTTAATCACTGCAGTTAGTAAACATGTTCATGCGATGTGTATTAGAAATTATTATCGCGTTTTGGAACACTCTCCTTAACCACCTACAAAACACGTACATCACGTATAATAATTAAACAAACCGCCTAAACGTCACGTTAGTGTAGCCTATATAATGTGTATTACATATTGAGCATGTAATGCTGTTTGATTACAAGAAGGGAAACAAAGCCTCTGTAGCCACAAAGAATATCAAAGAAGTTTATGGAAATGTTTTGAACGTTCGTAAGTGTCAACGATGGTTCAGCAAATTTCGTTCAGGTGACTTTAGCCTTAAAACTGTGATGGCAGGGGCCGACATGTTGGAATTGATATTGTTGCTCTGAAGACGCTTGTTGAGTCTAACCCAAGACAACACACTTTTGGGTGCCTCACTAACTCTCCGATGATTATCGTCTCCAACGTGTGAACGGTGCTTCGTCTCTTCTGGCGCGTAATGCGCGTGAACCATTTTTGGACAGAACTGTCACCGGTGATGAAAAATGGATTCTCTATGCGAATATTAAATGCCAAAAACAATGGCTCACTCCTAGATAAAAAACCACTTCCGACCTCATATCCTAGACTCCATCCACAGAAAGTGGTGCTTTGCATTTGTGGGACATCAAAGAAGTAATTAATTTCGAACTCCTTAATCCACAGAGAACTGTCAATGCAGAGATCTATAGTCAGCAAATGGAACGTTTAAATCAAGCTCTTCATCAGAAACGCTCTTCTCTCGTCAGTCGGAAAGGTGTTCTTCTCCACGACAATGCACGTCTACCATATTCTCCAGAAGTGGCACCATCAGATTACCATCTTTTTCGTTC